TAAATTTATGGTCCACCAGCTTCTGATAAAAATATCAAGAAAATGTGGGAAATGTGCTAAAATTGGTTATATGATTATAATTTTGAAACTACTAAAACTATTTAACTATACACTTTACATAAAATGAACTGAGTAGTACAGGAACAGAATCTTAAGAAAACATATATATAAACACATGTATTTATAAACATATATTTAGATGGCTAGACAGACATGAACTGTCACAAACTGCAGGAGATAGACATTATAACCAGACAAATATAGGATCTTGGATTAGAGTCTAAAATAGAATTGAGGAAATTAGGAGAAAAAAACTGGTAAAATCTAAATAAAGTCTATAATTCTATTAATGGTATCATAACAATGTTAATTTCTAGTTATAATCATGGTGAAATAATTATGTGAGATGTTAATGGAATCTGAATAAAAGATCTTCACAATTCTTCCAGAAGTCTTAAAATTATTTCACAATAAAAAGGGTTTTTTAATGAGATAGAGCAAATGAAGTAATGAAGTAATGTAACTCCTCTGTGTAATACCTTAATAATACCAATAAAATAAAAATGAGTTAAAATAACTCACTTTATATTAGTCATTTTAATAATGAATTACTAGAATGTCTAATAATAGAATGACTAAAATTTCAAAGATGCACAAATTCAAATGTTGGTAAGAATTCAGAACAGCTGAAAATTCCATGCTTTTCTGTGGGGGGAAAAAAGGCACCATTTGGAAAAATGTTCGGTAGTTTCCTATGAAATTAAATAAACCTATTATATAACCCAGTGAACTCATTACTAAGAATTCACCAAGAGAAATATAAATGAATGTTTGCAAAAGGTTATTCATGATAGTTTTAAACTAGAAATAATCCAAATGTTCATCAACCGGTAAATGGATTAAAAAACAACAACTAGTACTTCCAAACAATGCAATATTAAGCAATAAGAAAAAAGAAAGAGCTAGATACAGACTGAGAACAGACTGGGCCTGGTCTGGGTTACTAAATGATGTATAAAATAATAGCTTTAAGGGGATGCCTAACATTAACTCACTCCATTTTGTAAGGCAATACTTTTAACCTACACCATTCTTATTTATGACTTGTAGTTACGCAAGCAAACAAACATTATCTGGACAGCCACCAGTTGCTCACATCTATAATCCTAGCTACTCAGGGGGCTAGGATCTCGAGATTGGGGTTCAAAGGCAGCCCGGGCAAAAAAAATTAATGAACCGCCAAAAAGACTGGAAGTGGAGCTGTGGCTCAAGTGGTACAGCACTAGCAAAAGAAACTAAGGGACAATGCCCAGGGCCTGAGTTCAAGCCCCAGAACTGGCACAAAAAAAAATCATCTGGAAAGACTGATAATTAAAAAATGCATGGATGCTTGGGTGTATCAAGCCCATACCAGAAAAATTAGGCCCCCTGAACTTATTAAACACACCAAACTCGGTAATTGATTTAACTTCTTCACCAGAATCACATGAAAGGAGGAAGCTGACACTGGCATATGCCATCACACACTGAACCAGTCATCAGATCATCCAGTGCATGGTTCATCTCAGTTTCATCCCCCTGAGTAATGTGCCTACTTGAATGGCCATCTGTCCCAACCAAGGAAGCAAGGAACCAATGTCATACTCTGAACTAGCATTTCCCTTTAAACTAATTCTGCATTTTGACATCTGATCTCAGGAGCTGGGTGACCAGGTTGTTATCAAAAGTGATCCCTTGCACATTTTTTTAGCTCCATAGTTTGCCTTTCGACCAAGCCTCTGATCCATACAGCTGTTTTACTCTTAGAAATCCTGTAATCTCTATATTACTGTGAAGTGTAATGTTTGATCTGAAATTTAATATCAGTAATTAAGATTAAAATAAAAGATCCAATCTGCCAATTAGTGCTTGTAGTATTTACACTGGCAAATTAATGCTGATGAGACTGATATACTTTTTGAATGTTATCTGATAAATTCAGACAGTGTAGAAAGATATATGAAATAATATAGATGAATCTCATAAGCATTATGCTAAATTTTCAAAATTAAAAGGCAGCTAGGTTTGGCAAGTTAAGCTTATAACCCCAGCTACTTAGGAGGAAGGAAGAGTTCAGGGGATCATTGTTCAAGATCATCCCAGACAGAAAAGTTCACAGGTAAACAGTAGAATGCACCTATAATCACAATTATAGAGGAAACACAATGACTGTGCCTGATGGAGAGTACCCCTCATCCCCAGCAAGATGAGAAAACATTAGTATGAAGGTAAGAGTCTAATCCACTCCAACATACAGTGATAGCCTACCTAGAAAATAACCAATGAAAAAAAGAGAATTGTTAAAAGCACCTTTCAACCAACCATGAGGTCCTGAATTAAAGCCCCATTATTTCAAAACAATTAAGGTAAAATAAAATAAATGGCAATACTATTACTGTTTTTTCTTTAAAAAAAAAGTTATATGCTGGCAGTGGCAGATAGCTGGGTGACAGAATTGGAGGTAAAAGGACACAGGAAATTTTTTGCAGGGCTGGAAATATTCTATATCTTTCAATTGTGGTGGTGGTTACTAGAAACAATTGCCAAAATTCAGTGAACTTTAAAGGGTGAATAATTTTGTTGCATGCAAATTTTAACTCAATATACGTACATAAAAACAAGTTTAAGTCTATTATAGTACTAGAGTACTATAATACATTAAAGATATTTAGGCATATATAAAAAAGATGTTTAATAATGCTACTAATCAGAATTACGAAATATTTTTGGTCATCTTTCAAGTTGGTTACATTTCTATTTTGTGATTTTAATTTTAATTAATCATTTCCATTTGGTGTTCAGTATTTTAAAAAAAAAGTTTAACACATGCAATTTTTAACACATGAAACCATTAAAACATTGCTATAATTTAAGATACAGAAAAGTTTCATTACCAAAAAACTTTCCATCATGCTATCTCTTTGTACTTACTCCCTTTCCCATTGTATAACCTCTGGAAATTTCTCTTTCCTTATAGTATTGTCATTTTGAGAATGTCATATAATGAAAAGATAAATGTGTACATAACATTCTTCAGAAGGGATTTCTTTACTTAGTATAATTCATGTGAAAATTATCCAAGTTGTGTCCATCAACAATTCATTCTTTTTCATTGCTAAGTACCATCCAACTGTATGGATATACCAAGTTTATCCATTCACCTACTAAAAGACATTACAATGTATTAGCTTTTACAGGAATTTAATAATAATATTTACCTATTCTCTAATGAATAAACAACATATTTGGTCCGAATAAACAAGTATGGTCCAAATAATTAAGATGAGACACTTACTCTAAAAGGGTTCACACTGTTTTACAGCCACATTAAAAAACAGATTTTTATAATTTTATAATTTCCTTCAAAAGAGATCTCAAACCCATGTAATCGTAACCCCTCTGTACAGTACTTTCAAAAAAAGAAAAAGAGATCTCAGAGCCAGACATCAGTGGCTCATGACTGTAATCTTAGCTATTCAGGTGGCTGAGATCTCCAACTAACTACAACAAAGCCAGAAGTGAGGCTGGGGCCCCACAACCAATAACAATGACAACAAAAGACTATCAAATAGAGTAGAATACAATAGATGAGGTCTAGAGAAGATCCCAAGCAGAATCATCGTATGACATAATGAGAAGTAAACTTATATTGTGTCTCAGTCTTTTTTTTTTTTTTGGGTCCGGTCGTGGGGCCTGAACTCTGGGCCTGGGCGCTGTCCCTCAGCTCTTCAGCTCAAGGCTAGCGTTCTACCACTAGAGCCACAGTACCACTTCCGGGTTTTTTCTTTTGCTTATGTGGTGCTGAGGAATCGAACCCAGGGCCTCAGGCATGCAAGGCAAGCACTCTACCACTGAGCCACCTTCCCAGCCCTGTCTCAGTCTTGAGAATGAGATGTTACAGAACTTTTAATTGCTGTGATTAATACCTTAACATTAAGTATTATCTTTGCTTTAAAAGGAAATATAGCACTATCCTTAAATGGAAAACTGTGTTTTTCTAATACAGTCATATAAGCATCTAACTATTAAAGTAAGAAATAATCAACTCCACATCTACTAAAATAATCTCATCTGCAAAATAAAAGTGATGAGTTCCAATCTTTCAAAACCATAAGTACTCACTCATGAAAAGAAAAGGAACCAATATTTTGATAAGAAAAAAGTTATTGTGTCTGAAATAGATCTTTAAATATACATATATTTAACAAAGAGTAAATAAAAGGCTTAATACTTTAATAACTCAATACCTATCAATCTTCTGATTCCATTATACGTCCCTACAGTAACATATGATACCATAAGACATAAAACCTACATTTTAAACATTTTAATAAGGACTTTTGTATTATTCTTTATTTCTCATTTCTAATAAAACAATTTTCCAAAACCCCATTCTCTTCACTTTTATTCTGCTACAAGCTAATCAGAAACTATACACATTATATAAAGTACCCTTTTCAATATATTTGTTGTGTAATTACTAGATCAAAATTTGAGAGTATATAACTGAAAAATAAGGTAATTCTGCAGCCTGCCAGGAAGTTTCTAAGAGTAAATCTATTTTTTCTGAAATGAGATCACTAAGGAACATCCTGCATTGAGCAGGTATGTTCCATACATAAATTAAACACAGTATCATTTCTTATATCTATCTCAGCTATTTTTAAGATGTCTTATTAGTATAAAAATGAATAATTTATGTTTATTACTTTTACTAAAAAATTGAAATAGTCTAAATACTAGTTTGGGTAAATAATGACTAACATGAACTCCTCACTGCAGTTGGGTTATATCAACAAATGAAAAACCTATAATAAAAACAAATTAATATTTATAATCAGAATGTTTCTTTTGCATTAAGAAAAAAACCTCCTTACAAGTTGTGAGTCTCTCTCCTTTCTACTCTTTTTTTAAGATGTAAAATTATTTATCTTAAAAACAAGTCCACAAAAATAGCATACTTATCAGATTTCCTTTTGCATCCCTGAGAGGCGCACCACCTCCACCTTTTCCCCAAGGGTTGTAAATTCTCATTTCAGCTTCCAACTTAGCTTCATACTCTTCTTTTTCTTCACGTTCTTTTTTCCTTCTTTCTTCTCTCTCTAGAATCTTGATAACATAAAATAGATTATATTTATTTGGCTGATTAAAAAATTAATCTGCCAATGTTTTGTTACAGTACATTTACTATGAAATTTAAGTTCATGATTAATTCTCAAAACACCTAAATGTCTGGTATAGGTGCTGTTCCACCAGATCATGCCACCAGAGGTTTTTCAAAGCACTAAAACCAGATAAAATTCAACCAACTCTACTCCTACTCCCCAAATGTCTACTCTGATTATTCTCTCCCTGACTCTTCAGTTCCATAGTACCTACTATTAAGGTCTCACTACTTCCAGACAAGAAGTCTAATCCCTATTTCCCAAACCTACACTCCTTACGCAGTCTATTCCCAGAATTCAGACATTGAAAGTTCAGAGCTTTTGAAAAGATGCTAGGCAACTTTGAGTACAATTTATGAAAGCATACAAAATAAATACATACTTGTCATCACCAAGTATAAGTACAAGATTGTTCTCTACAGATATATGGATACGAAAATAAGAATGTTAAATAAGAAGCAACATTTCATAAGTCATTTTTAAACTCAAAACTAGGCACTTTTTTCACACCAGCACGAAGTAATTATACATACATATGATTTTTGTAATTGTTAACCTTCATGCTTTTTCTTTACCCCCAATTCATTCCTTACATGTAAGACCCAGTCTTTTCAGTATTGAGTTACTGGTTCCACAAAAGCCAGAAAAACAACTTAGTAGTAATCAGAATGTGACCCAACTGTATATTGTTTACTTTATTGTAAATAATGGTGAACAGTGGTCAAATAAAGAGTTTTATATTCCTTTAAAAAATAACTTTCTCAAGTGGTAGAGCACTAGCCTTGAGCTGAAGAGCTGAGGGACAGCGCCCAGGCCCAGAGTTCAGGCCCCTCAACCAACAAAAATAAAATAAATAAAAAATAACTTTCTAGAATCTGTCTCATGAAAAAGCTGAATTGAAAGTACTTTAATACGACAGTATCTAAAAGGAACTTTACAGAAAGTAGTCCAGAATATAAATCTGAGTCCCAAGGGTCTTGTCAGAGATAAGGTTGTTAACCCAATAAAAACTCATACTCTAGGGCTGGGAAGGTGGCTCAGTGATAGAGCACTTGCCTTGCATACATGAAGCCCTGGGTTCGATTCCTCAGTACCACATAAGAAAAAAAAAGCCGGAAGTGGCACTGTGGCTCAAGTGGTAGAGCGCTAGCCTTGCTTGAGCTGAAGAGCTGAGGGACAGCGCCCAAGCCCAGAGTTTAGGCCCACAACCGAACCCCCCCCCCCCCCGCCAAAAAAAAACTCATACTCTAGGGCTGGGAAGGTAGCTCAGTGGTAGAGTGCTTACCTTGCATGCATGAGGCCCTGGGTTTGATTCCTCAGCACCACATAAGCAGAAAAGGCTGGAAGTAGCACTGTGGCTCAAGTGGTAGAGTACTAGCCTTGAGCTGAAGAGCCGAAGGACAGTGCCCAGGCCAAGAGGTCAGCCCAGGACCAACAAAAAAAAAAAAAAAAATCAAAAAACAGCTAAAGAGCTGAAGAACAGTGCCCAGGCCAAGAGTTCAGGCCCAGGACCAACAACAAAAAAAATCAAAACATAAAAACAAACAAACAAAAAAGTCATACTCTAGTTATTCTTAAATAAACTTTCTACCCCACTGAAAATTACTAAACAATTTACTGTCATCCATAAATATGCTCTACTACATGTATTCCCCACTAATTTCCTGCCTCATTATTATTCTAGATTAGAACTTCAAATTTGAAATTCTCTGTTCTTATTCTAGATTAGAAATTTCAAAATTCCAAATCCACATCAATGAATTTCTGAAGTACTGTCAATGAAATTTCAGTCTCTTTGATTTCCCCACTACTTCATCTAGTTCAGACCCTCATTGCCTCTTGGGTGGAATTTATCCATAGTTGATTTCAATGTTTTTCTTCCTTTCTCTTTCCCATTGTCTAAATCACTATCAGTGATTTTTAGATATTTTTGTTCACATCAATTAGTCCTCTCATGTTTCTTGGCTTAAAATTTCCTTTCTTTAGTTGTATAAAGATGGAATTTAAAAAATCTTTGTAACTCATCTTTCAAATCAATTTTTTCTCCAAAGCAATTCCACTCCCACAATATTCAAGGAAAGTCTAACCTACATAACATGCAGCTTAAATATCAACTACCATGTGAAGCTCTCCCAATTGTTCCAGGCAATTACTCTCCCTACCCCACACTTCCAACAGCATTCCAATATTTTCACTTCAAAACTTATCATATTGGGGTTGGAGGCATGACTATAATCGTAGAATGTCAATCAAAGAGTTTTGAAAGCAAGTTTGAGTCCCAGTCTCAAACCAAAACAAAAAACAAACAAAAAAACCATCATAGTGTTATAACTAAATGTCTTTTTCTCCATGATCTGCCACGCTTAGTTCTAAAGGACCATAGTGCTACAAATAACATGTTCATCATTAAGTCAATAAGTAAATACCTGCTGCTGTAAAGCTTCTTGATACGACTGAAGGGACTGTTTGGAAGGTTTTGGTTTATCTTCAAATAACAGTCCAGAATTCATTGTCCTATCATTTGTAGTTTTCAGTTCATTCTGTCCAACTGTATTCCTAATATCAAATAAACAATTACGTGAATCTACCTGCTATTCAAGAATAAGAAAACTCAACAAAGAAAATAAACAGCATGTCATATAAAAATATCTTACAATAAAGGACCTATATTTCTCTACAGATCAGAAGGAATCTTTAAGCAAATATCTATTTTAAAATACTTCTTCCTGACTGTTCTTGGTAATCTGTGGATATTGAAAATATACTGGATCTATTTTTTGACCTAGGTGGCAGTTATATCTATCTAAGAAAATACCTTGTGATAATTCCTCAAGCAGTACACATATGACCTGTTTTAAATCTATAGAAACAAGAACACACCAAAAATTTCCCAAATAGTATTCATTGTAAGTAATGATTGGCTATTAAGTAATAAATGAATAAAATTGCTTTTTAGCCATTTCAAAACAATAAAGAAAAAAGTAAAACTGTCTCAAATTATAGTTTTCTCATCTCTAAAAATCAGGCTCATCGGGGCTGGGAAGATGGCTCAGTGGTAGAGTGCTTGCCTTGCATGCATGAGGCCCTGGGTTTGATTCCCCAGCAGCACATAAGCAAAAAGAAAAAAAGCCGGAAGTGATGCTGTGGCTCAAGTGGTAGAGCGCTAGCCTCGAGCTGAAGAGCTGAGGGACAGCGCCCAGGCCCAGAGTTCAGGCCCCATGACCGGACCCAAAAAAAATAAAAATAAATAAAATAAAATAAAATAAAATCAGCCTCATCACTTCAGTAAGCTTCTTTTGTGCACTTAACTCATATAACATATTTATAATATTGGGCTAAACAAATACATTTTGTTAATGGTTACAATGGATTCTGACTGGGCGAACCAGAACAAATGTTTCTAACATCTTAATTTTTTTTCAGAGCCAGATGACTCTAGTGTTAGGAAAAGAAGGCTGATAAGATTATTGCTATCAGTTACACATTGTACAAATTCTTAGTTTCTATTTCACTCATTATTCTTCCTATCCTCATCCCTACATTACTCAATTTTTTTCTTAAATAAGACTGAGAGTAGTGGGAACTGGTGGATTACTACTAGCTACTAGGAGGTTGAAATCTGAGGATCAAAGTTAAAAGCCAACCTAGGCAGACAAATCTTCTAAGACTCTTATCACCAATAAACTAATAAAAAGCCAGTAAGCATGGTAGATGCAAGGCTCATGTACAAGACATGAGCCAATAAAGCTAAGTGAGAATGCAAGCCCTAAGTTCAAACTACAGGATTTCATTGGTATTGTCAATCAGTTATAGAGATATAAAACAATAATTTGGGATACAAAATAATAATTTTCACTATTAATACTATCTTTTTACCTTTTCACATAATTAAAACTTAGGTGTTCGCCAAGCATGGTGACTCAAGCCTGTAATCCTAGCTATTTGGGCAGAGATTGAGATATTATGCCAGTGTATGCAAAAAAAAAAAGTTTGCAAGACTCCATCTCAATTAATAGCTGGGAAAGGGGTGTGTGGCTGCTACCCAGATACAGAAGAAGTATAACCACTGGTCTCAGTGACAAGCATCTGTCCTCCCCAATGGCATGATGAAGCACAAGTATGAGAATGGCAGCCTGGGCTGAAGCATTAAGCAAAGTCATGCCTCAAAAATAACCAATGCAAAAAGGACTAAGGCGGATCCCATGATAGAACACCTCCCTAGCAAGTGGGCCTAGAGTTCAATCTCCAGTACTGCCAAAATAACTTAAGTGTTTTTGATTCTCTTTGCCTCCTGTCTGAAAATTCATGTTGAGAGCTCTTATTTTCTTCTGATCAGTTTTAAGAAAACAGCACTGCTCTGTCTTTCTTCATGAAGTTGGATTCAAAATTTTAACATGACTGAAGAAACATGTAATTAAATCAGAACAGAAAGAAGGGAGAATACAGCAGGGGTACTAAGCAAACTAAACAATGGTTTGTATTCTATTTACAGTTATTCAACAGTTACCAACTAATCTATATTTAGAACATTTCCACAATCAAAAAAAAAAAAAATCCCTTGTATCCATTCAATCCTTGGCACATCCAGCCCCTGGCAATCAGAGTAGCCCCAGTGTAACCAAAAAGAAAAAAAAAAGTCAAGACAATCTGCAATGTTCATATTCTTATTTCATTCACCATCCTACATTCCAAAGTAATTCCAATTGACATATAATCTGTTATAAAATCAGAGAAGAAACACTCCTAGAGACATTATTCTTCGAACACTAACTACATAGAGAAAAAAAATTGAAAGCTACAAATGCAAAAAGAAAAGTTAGATGAAAAGCCCATTAGACTAGCAGCAAATTTCTCAACACAAACTCTAAACATAAGGAAGGCATGGAAAGACATAGTTTACACTTTGAAGAAAAAAAACAAAAACCAGCCAATCTAGATTACTTACTATAGCCAGCAAAGCTATCCTTCACTAATGTGAGAGAAATACTTTTTATGATAAACAAAAGGTAAAGAAATTTATGACTAGTAAATCTAAAAGGGTTTAGTTTTAAGATTCTTGTGTCTGTTTTTAATGATATTAACTTACAATTTCCCATTTCATACTTGCCTTTTTAGGTTTCAGTATTGAGTTAACAATTTTTTTTTGGGGGGGGGGAGGGTCGGTGGGTCTTGAACTCTGGGCCTGGGTGCTGTCCCTTAGCTTTTCAGCTCAAGGCTAGCACTCTACTACTTGAGCCACAGTGCCACTTTCAGTTTTATGAGTGGTTTACTAGAGATAGTCTCACAGCCTTTCCCGTCGCGTGGTGAGGGGAGGGGTGGATTTGAACCGAGATCCTCAGATCTCAGTCTTCTAAGTAGCTAGGATTACAGGTGTGAGCCACCTGTGCCTGGCGAGATAACAACTTTTTAATAGTTCTATATTCGTTTCTATAATATTGGATTTTTTTTCTCTGCAATGACTGGCAAATTCTCTAGGCTATATAGAATTGAAATTTATTTTTGTAGAAGGATTCAAAATTTCTAATGCAATATTTTAAGTTTTGTTATTTTTTAGGTTTTATTCTTGAATCAGTATTAGTAAAATACATTTTTAGAGAAATTGTTCTAAATTTTCTAATTCCTTGGCATAAAAATTTTCATATTTTCCTTTTTCTTCATTAACCTCAGTATTGAACTATTAATTTAGTCTTTGGAGGAATATAATTTATGTTTATGGACTGTCTGCTTATATATTGCATTTAATTGATGTCTATTCTTTTGTTATCTTTACATTGTTTCTTTGTTTACTCCATGGTTCTTTTTCCCACTTTTCTGGTGTGTGACCTTAATTTTCATCTTATTTTACATATTTTCTAATTTCTTCTTTGTTTTCTAATTTCCAACACACAAAATTATTTTATTTTTAAAATAAATTTCTAGCTTAAATGGTTCACAGGATACCTACTGAAATTTATTAGGAATTATATGAAGGATTAGAATATGATTAGTTTTATAAATAAGTAGAATCAGGATAGATGGCAATGACTAAAAGAGTAACACTGATCAATATTTATTGTACTGAATGGAAGAGATAAAGGAGAAAAATGGAAGGGATGAATCAATCAAGATACAGTGTACTGAAACTGACATGTTAGATTGAAAACCCTTCCTACAACCACTTAAAGATAAATTTTAGTGCATTTTACACATAAACTGACACATTAAGTTGAAAGACTTACAGATAAGTTTTAAAATAAATTTAATTAAGTAGTACTTTTAGATTACCTAAAAATGAAAAGATAAGCTAGGAACTGGTAGCTCACGCCTATAATCCTAGGAGGCTAAGATCTAGAGGATCACAACTTGGGGCTATCACAAACAGAAAAATTTGCGATTCCATCTCTAAAATAACAAGCAAAAACAGTGTGGCTCTAAAGGTAGAGTACCAGGTCTAGTAACCAAGAGTTTCTGTGGAGTAACACTGTTCAAAAGAATGTACTCAATACATGAGTTATGTAACTGTAACCCCTCTGTATATCACCTTTTTAATAAAAATAAATTAAATTAAATTTGAAACCTAAAAACAACAAGAAAAAGTTTTGAATTCAAACCCTAGTACCACCAAAGGAATGAAAAAAAAAAGGCAATATACCAAAATTTAAATGATACAGTAAAAGCAGTACTGAGAAATTTATAATTGTAAACATACATACCCCAAAAGGAAGTCCAGCTGGACACCAATGGCACACATTTGTTATACTAACTAATCAAGAGACGGAAAACAAGAGAACTACAGTTCAAGGCCAGCTTAAGTGAAAAGTTTGTGAATCCCCATCTCAATCAATTATCTGGGCACAGCGTTCAAGCCTATCACCACAGCCACCACAGGAAGTTTCAGGTGGGAGAATCATGGTCTACAGCAAAAAGTGAAATCCTATCCCAAAAAATAACTTCAGCAAAAACTAAAGGTGTGACTTAACTTTTAAAGCAACTTTCAGAGACTAGAAAAACAACTAAACATAGCAGACAGCAGAAGTCAAAAAAATAGAGAAAATTATTTTGAAACCAATAGCTAGATCTTTGCAAATGTCAACAAGATTGATAGATGTTTAACCAGATTGATCAGAGGGGTAGGACTAGGGTTCAGTGATACAGCACTTGTCTAGCATATAATGTATAAAGTCCTGGGTTTAATTTCTAGTGTAAACAAACGGTCCAAGAAGAGATTGTCATCTTCTACTCAAATCAAAAATTTTAAAAAGGAGCTGGCACCAGTGGCTCATGCCTGTAATCCTAGCTACTCAGGAGGCTGAGATGTAAGGATCTTGGTTCAAAGCTAGCCTGGGCAGAAAAGTCCATGAGACTCTAATCTTCAATAAACCACCAGAAAACCCGAAGTGGTGCTGTGGCTCAAGTGGTACAGTGCTAGTCTGGAGCTTAAGAGCTAAGGAACAGCGCCCAGGCCCAAAGTTCAAGCCCCATGACTGACAAAAACATTAAATAAAGGCAATTACTAATGATCTTATAAAAAAATTAAAAGAATTGGCTGGGCGCCAGAGACTCTGTATCTATTATAGTCCTAGCTACTCAGGAGGTTGAGATATGAGGATCGTAGTTCAATGTCAGCCCAGGCAGGAAAGTCCATAAGACTCATCTCCAATTAACCACCAGAAAACCGGAAGTGATGCTGAGGCTCAAATGGTAGAAGACTAGCCTTGAGATGAATAACTGGGGGACAGGGCTCAGGCCCGGAGTTCAAGCCCCACAACCAACAAAAATTAAATAATTAAAATTTTAAATAATTGAAATTGAGCAAGCATATGACAACAAATCAACTACATGACTTAAATGAGATGGAAAAAATCTTAAAAACAGAAAATCTATAAAACTAAATCACAAAGAAAAGTGAATTTGAAATTAAAAATCTAGCCAGGACGAGTGCACAATCCTATAATCTCAGGACTAAAGAAGCTGAGTAATGAGGATCTTAAGTTTGAGGACAGCTTAGACTGTCCTATGTTCACTCCTCAGCACCAAGGGGAGAAAACTTAACAACAAAAGCACTAGGAGTAAAGGGGACAATTTTGATGGCTTTTGGCCCATACAAGTAGTTTAAATTCAACTCCAGTGCCAATGTAGACCAAGCCCTAGGGGATTCACATTATCAGTATAAACTTTTTCATACAATGAAAATAAATGAACTCCCTCACCATCCTCTACTGGCAGATGACTTTTTCTAATCCAGCCTTTGACTAAAGACCAGCCCTCAAAATACTGAGTAGGTCAACCTTTCCCTTGTATTGCTACAAGACCATACTCCTATTCCACGTAAAAATAGCCCATAATTCAGATTAATATATTACTTTGTAGAATAGAGAAAAAAACACATACACACAACAACAACAAAAAGGATAGACCCAATGGCTTCACTGGTGAATTATACCAAATAAACATTTAAAGAACTAACACAATTCTTCCCAAAGTTTCCAAAAACCTAGCGAGGAAGAAACAACAATGCGTGAGCCCAGCTAAACTCAGCCCGACACCAATGTCAAATGACACTAGAAGAAAAGAAAAATATAGAACAGTATATTTTATGAACAATGATGAAAACTCAGCAAAATACCAACAATCAAATTCAGCAGCATATTAAAATGATTATATACATGACCAGGGCAGATTTATTCCTGGGATGCAATGACTTTCACATAAAACTCAAACAATGTATTGAGGAGAAACACAGGACCATTTCAATTACTGCAGAAAAAAATATTTAACAAAATTCAACAAGCTAATAATAGAGATTACCCCATATGTGCAAAAAAACACAGCAAATATACATTCAGTGATAAAAGAAAAAATACTTTTCTTTAAGTTTAAGATCAAGGCAAGAATGTGCACTTTGCCAATTTTACTTAATACTAATTTTAAACCAGAGTAATTAAACAAGAAAAAGAAAATAAAAGGCATCCAAACTGGAAAGAAGTCCATCATCTCTGTTCCTATATATACAAAACCCTAAACATTACACACATATTCCGGCCCCCAAAATACCCTGATAAAATACATGAATTCAGAAAAGTAGCAGGTACAAGTCAATATACAAAAATCAGCTAAATGAACAATTGAAAACTACAAAAATAGTTCTACTGACAAACCACCAAAAAAGAATAACATACAAAAAAATTTAATATCTATACAATGAAAATTACAAAATACTGACAAAGTAAATTAAGGAAGCTATATGCAAGTAGAAATACAACTCAAGTTCATGGATTTAAAAAATCTGTATTATTAAACTACCAATCTACAGATTCAATGCATCCTTCTCAAAATTCTACTGATCTTTTTTAACAGAAATAGAAAATCCCACCCTAAAATTCAGATAGTGTGTCAAGGGGCTCAAAACAGGCCAAACAATATTGTAAAAGGAGAATGAAGCTCAGAGACTCATATTTTCCTCATTTCAAACTTTCAAAGCTACAGTAATCAAAACATTATTGTACTATAAGGAAGACAGACATATAGACCAAGGATATAGAAAACCCAGAAATAAACCCTCAAATATAAAGTCAAATGATTTTTTACAAGGATGTCATAATCATTCCATGGAGAAAGAAGAGTCTCTTCAAAAAACTGTGCTGGGAAAACTAGATATTCACACATACAAAAGAATGAAGTTGAACTCCTATTTAAGATCATTTACCAAAAAAAAAAAAAGCAGAAAGAATCAAAGCATCCAAAGAACTAAAACTATTTTTTTTAATTTAGGAGAAAGCTAGGAATGGAGGCTCAATCCTATAATCCAAGAGGTAGAGATTTGAGGAATCACGGTTAAAGGCTGGCACAAGCATAGACGTTGGAGAGACTCAGTCTTACTCAAAGGCTGTTACCCCAGCTACAGGGAGAAGCACAATAACAGGCCTCAGGGGCAGTGGCCTGTTATGTCCAGTGAATTGGGGAAGCACAAATAGGAGAATCATAATCCAAAATAATTCAGGCGTAAATTAAGTCACTATTTCAAAAATAACCAATGCAAAAAGGACAAGAAATGTGGCTCAAGTGGTATCATGCCTGCCTAGCAAGTGCCTATAATATCCTGAGTTCAATCCCCAGGACCACAAGGAGGAAAAAAATGGCAGAGGTCTAGCATAGTCCTTCCAAGAAGGTGCACAAAGAGCCAATAAGCATAAAGTATGTTTAGTATCACTGAGCAATTAAGATAAATGCAAATTAGGGCTGGGAAGGTGGCTCAGTGTAGAGCGCTTGCCTTGCATGCCTGAGGCCCTGGGTTCGATTCCTCAGCACCACATAAGCAAAAAAGTAAAAAGCCGGAAGTGGTGCTGTGGCTCAAGTGGTAGAGCGCTAGAGTTCAGGCCCCACGACGGGACCAAAAAAAAAGATAAATGCAAATTAAACTAGAAAACTAGAAGTGTACTTACCATAGCATTTGTGAGGACTTAGGTTCAAACGTCAAAGTAACAGAAAATAACAAGTGTGTCAAGTAGGTGAAGAAATTCAAATCCTTGTGGACTGTCAGAAGTATTACAAAATAGTACAGCCACTGTGGAAAACCGTGTGACAGTTCCTGAAGAATATTTTTCAAACTGCTACCAATTAACCTCAAATTTCCCAAAGGGAAATTTGCACAGCAGTGTTAATGCAACCTTATTCACAACAGTTAAAATGTTGAAGAAATCCAAGTAGGTGAATAAGCAAAATTTATGGCATATACATGCAATATTCACTCTTAAAAGATTGTGACATATGGTGCCAAAAGAGGTGGCTCAGTGGTAGAGCGCTTGCTTTGCATGCCTGAGGCCCTGGCGATTCCTCAGCACCACATAGGCAAAAAAGAAAAAATCCGGAAGTGGCGCTGTGGCTCAAGTGGTAGAGCGCTAGCCTTAAGCTGAAGAGCTGAGGGATAGCGCTCAGGCCCAGAGTTCAGGCCCCACGACTGGACCAAAAAAAAAAAAGACTGTGACATCTGTATAATATAGATGAAAATTAAAGACATCATGCTAATGAAATAAACCAGTCATAACAAGCCAGTCACAGAAATACATGTCTGACTGCTCACCCTAAAGTACTTTAAGAAGAGTCAAAAACACAGATAACAGAATAGGAGTTGATAGGAAATGAAGGTGAAAGAAGGGAGTGATAACCTTTTATTTAATGGGTACCAAGTTTCAGTTTATAAACAATGAAAATATTTTTGAAGATGGCTCTCTAACATGATAAATGTATTAAATACACTAGAACAAGTACCCTTAAAATTATCACAAAATTTTATTATGCTCTTTTTTTGTTTTTTTTGTTTTTGTTTTTTTTGCTTATGTGGTGCTGAGGAATCGAACCCAGGGCCTCAGGCATGCAAGGCAAGCGCTCTACCACTGAGCCAACTTCCCAGCCCTTATTATGCTCTTTTAATACAATAAACAAACAGAAACAATAATCCTTTTAATTTGTAACTTACACAATAGGTTGTGCTAGTTGATGTGTGACAGGGGCATAAGCTACAGGTTGTCCTCCCATCATTCTTGAATCATCTTAAAAGGAAAAAAAAAAAAAGAATGAATTCCCATTTTATAACACTTTATGCCAAAAGGAAAAAGCACAAGACAAAAATATTTCCTAAGGAAAAGCATCAAGACAACCTTTTAGATTAAGAATTAGCAAAGAACAATACCAAAAAAAACACATAAATAATTGTTCCTTAACTCAAAATACATACAAATTCTTGATTTTGTTTTGTATTTGATTCCCATTATATAGACCAGACTGAGCTGGAAATTCTTTGTAGCCCCAGGTTGGCCTCAAACTTTTGATCCTCCTCTTCAGCTTGTAACTGTGTTTTAAAACATACACTATGTTTGCCTATATTGTTTCCCCAGAACTCATACAGGAGTTTAATCCCCTAAGTCTTATTAACAGATTTAAGAATTTTAATCTCAAGACAAAGTTTAGTGGTAGGGCCTTGAAAATAATGATATTAAGACTAGATGAAGGGCCTGAGTCCTATAATTAGATCTTGGTGGCTTTATTTTTTTCATTATTTAGAGAAGACATTTCTACTATCTGAAATCAAACCCATATGCATAAAATTTAACACACTTAATATACTCTGTACAAATGGAAAAGATAAGTTTTATCATTGCTAGACTAATTTAACTTCTGTACAGTGCCAACTTAATACAGTAAACTGAAATCTTTCACCAGTTTCCAAAAATCAAACATATATAGAAATTATATATATTATAGAAATTATATGTATATATACACTCAGAATGAGAAAGAAAAAATAAAGGATGATAACAGCATGTTATGCATCAATAGCAGCAATAATTTTTCCAGGCTCTGTAGTCATCTAAACAAAATTCTAGATACATCCAGCACATGCCAAAAAAGAAAAAAGAAAAGCAAGGCCAAAAGTATAACCACAGAAAACAGCAAAATTCTGTATCTGTCATGGTACCTGACACCATTTTTTAATAACTTTCCCATAACCATCTGAAAGAAAACACCCTAGAGTAGCATCATTAAAAACAGATCTGATAAAGCACAGTCACTACTATGTATCATTAAGGCAGGTAGAAGATTTTACATTCTCAAAGGAATGATATAGTACTGTCCTTACATCTATGATACTAGATATCACTAGCATTAAAAAGACATCATTTGAGACTTGATTCTACTCTTCCAGCAGAGGGTCCAAAGGATAGTATGGCACAGCTCTGTAAAGAAATACACTTTCTTATGTAAGTATTCCTTGTAATAGTGTCAGAACATCAGCTAAAAACTATTACAAAACAAATCAACAAGAACAATAAAACATCCTAGGGGTGGGAGGGAACAACCAAACAAAACACCTTATAACAAGTGGATTTCATACAAAGCTGACTCTGAAGACAAGCAAGACTCAGCCTAACTGCTGTTTTTATACAATCTGTCATGTTTGAATGATTTAAACTCCACAGAAGGAGATGTCCAGTCATACTTTAAAGCATAAAGGGAGAAAAGGAGAATGCAGAGATATACACACTCCTGCCATGACATGATGCAGACAAGAGCCTGTGTATCTATTTGGACTTTAGGCTTCTAAAACTTGAGTGCAAATAAACTTCCTTTCTTTATAAAGCAGTATCAGAAATGTACTTGCACAGGAAATGAATTTATCAAGTGAATAGATACATGTGAATTAAAATTTTAATGTTAAATTCATACTTCCCTTGTAGAAAACCAATTGTCCTTATTAAACCACTTGAAAAAGATGTTTACCCTATTGATCACTTACAATAAGCAAAACTGGGATCCAAAGTATTTCTGGCACCATAAAAATAGTATGCATCATCATAAGGAGTTCGATAGTTAGTAGCCATAGATGGTAGTAGGGGAGGTGGAGGCAGAGGTGCAATCCTATATCAAAAGAAAAACGGAAAATTCTTCTCATATTTCATTGTAAATTTTTTTATCAAAATCATTCTTCTGCAAAACATTACTGAAAGTCCAATCACTAGCTTAGAAAAAGCCACAATCTCATTCTCATTGTTCATCAAAAACTATGAATCAAAAAGCAAATAATATAGCATAAAATTTCACAATTTGAGATACAACAGTTCTGTAAGACATAAACAAGTTAATATTTAATAATTAGTAGCCAATAGTGGTACCAAGTAAAAAGAGATATTTTATGTCCCTCTGAATAATACAGAAATAGACAATTACAACCAGAACAAACAAAACAAGTATGTGCTGGGGCATTTAAATCTTTTTAAGGAGAGGTAGAAAGCTCCAAAGATTTCCCCCAAATGGAATTGCTTGAGCAACCAAAGACAATCCAGGAACCAAAAGCAAAGAGTTCAAAACTGCACAAATAACTCAGTGTGAGAAAAGGGATATAGTCAACCATAGTGTGAAATAAAAATTACAAGTCAGTATAAGATCCTGGTATAATCTTTAGTGCTTTATAAATTATTTTAAGAAAACTTACTTAACTTTTCACTAATCAGAAAACAGTTCTGTTATTTCTAACAGTACAGTACTTTCAAGCAATAAAAATGGTAAAGGAGCATTCCTTTAGATGAACAAAAAAATGATAAGGGGTATATTCTAGAACATTTTCATTTCTGCCCGTAACTTCAGAGATTCATATTGTATATTCCAAATTTTCTGAAAAGCTAAGAAGGCATTAAAGTTCCTCTCAAGTCACTCAATGAGCCTGACTTCACTACCTTCATTTAAAAGATGTCAATAGAGAAGCCGAATAACTGTTATAAAAGAAGCAGTTATAACCAAAACCTAAATTCTATACATTTATATAAGAGCTTATCTTCATAACATGTAATTGTAGACAACAAAAATACTATAGTATTTATTCTGAAGTTCAACAGAATTGTGTAGTTCACCCAAATTCCAGACACAAAGTCAACCATTTCAATCACTTATCCAAAACTGAAACCACAATACAATCCATTAATTCCAATCCCTCCTAGTGTTATGAGTAGGAAAGAATTAAAGAAAACAAACAAAGCATCTGACAATACAGCAAATATAATTCTACAATTTTGTTAGTACTATTTATGAAAGACCAAGCCCTGCTGAAAGAAGTGCAGCCTAGAAATAGTTTTGTTTTTAATCCACATTTAAACACATTCCATTAATTCACTTAGAATAAACAAACACAACAACAAAAAACAAACTTCAGGTCCCATAAAAAAGGAAGTAGACCAGAAAATATCAGTGCTGATAGAAGTTTTTTATGTGTAGTCCAGAACAAAATAACTTTTACCTACAGAAATCATGTCTTTAACACCTAAGTTTTATCTCAATACTTTATTTCCAGGCATTTGAGTTTTTTAGCCCAAGTAATCAGAAAGAAAGAATTAAAGGAAAGAGAAGCTAAAATAAAATCATTTGTAAATGAGACATATTACCAACTTTTTCTGCTTAAGCTGAAGGAAAAATCAATGTTTGCCAAGTGGAAGTAACAAAATCGAGATTGTATACCTTTTATATAATAAAATATTTCATCAAAAATAAGTACTGACATGTGCTTTAAATGCAATTCATTCAAAAATATAAATCCTTTTAAATAAGAGTGTTATAAGAATTTCCCTTGTCTTATAATAGCAACGAAATGTTTCAAAACAAATTATTTGCCAAAACCACTATATAAAGGACTGTATCATCTGCTTCAGGATATCCTTCTAAACATCTATAAATATAACAATACCTTACCTAATTCCCAAACACAAAACTTATATTTTAAACAAGCACCTGGGAGGCACCATTTCACCAAGAGTGCTGTGGAGTCCACTAGGCAAATCTTCATTTTGAGAAAGGACAGAATGAGTTGATGGGATGGGTGGAATAGATGAGGCAGATAAAGGAGGGAGAGGTGTCTGGAAAGCTACTCTGGGTCTCTCAGGTGGTATCTTATCTTCACGTTGTCTTGGTGCTGTACTAAACTGCTTTAGTCTATCGGGCTAAAATAAAGAGGGGAAAAAAGCTGTTACATAGAATCTTAAGTTAAATGCAGAAGGTCCTCAAAACATCCTCTATCCAGGCAAGCACTTAAGTATAAAACAGAATTTTACAGCTATAAAAGATTGTAAAGATTTAATTCTTATTTTATAAATGAGTAACTGAAGCTCTCTGAGGAGTACATAAGTCACCTAAAGACTTGCCATTAATAAACAATCAACAACTAGAGTCAGATATTAAAATTTTTCCATTATATTATAACAAAATGATACTTTCTCCACTAATTACCATTTCTGTTATTATTCTGTAGAAAAGGGTGAGTAAATACTTTCTGTAAAGGGTCAGACAGCAAATATATTAGATTTTTCAGGCCATCTGGTCTTTTTCCAATGATCCTACTCCAATGTACTGATAAAGCAGCCAGACAATATGTAAAGAATGAAAACTGTTCTACTGCAGTGAAAATTTATAGAAATGCAGCAGCTGGGTTTGGCTACAGGTCAACATGTTAACCTTGACTCATAAGCATCATTCATATATCCTTTTCTAAAATTTGAGCACCAAAAAGTAAGCTCAAATAGCATGTTTAACTCTTCTAACACTGATACATTTTTATAAATCAACTTGACATTGTATGAGTTTAAGTTTAAAGTTAAATTTTAAAAATCTGTGAAACTACAAAATTTAATATGCCAGTATATTACATTCAAAAGTTCAAGATTATAAAAAGGAAACTTTGGATTGCAAAATCTACTTCAAACGTATTCACTGAGAAGAAAAAATGTTTTGGAATTTATCTTATATGCTTGTGGGAGGCATAATTTATTGAGAATAACCTCTAAGGTTATTTAATGTAAAGTTTTTATTCTATAACTAGTAGGAGCAAATGGGGGAGATACTGGCACAGTACTAAATTTTTTTTGAAAGAGGACTGGTGCTGGGGATAGACCCCAAGGTACAATAAAAAGATACTGAGTTACAACCCCAATATTAAAGTTTTTTAAATGGAAGACAGAGTAAAAGTAAGTCAAAAGTTGTCTACAGCCTAATAACAATTTAAATAAGCTTAATTCTCAGGATTTTCTGTATCCTTTTTAAAGACTCAACTTCAACAAAATTGAAGGCTTTAAACACCATTTAAAAATGAAAAAATTTGCCTTGGCAATAAATACTACATATTCAACTACAAAAAAGTACATTGTGTTAAGAGCAAAAAATTGTTACCTCCTCCTTACTTAACTGCAATGATGAGAGAAATTCATTCCACTTAATGATGAGAATTGCAAAATTAAAGTAAAAATAAGATTATTATCTCTCTAGCCTTACAATAAATAACAATTACTAAAATATTTAAACTAGCACTAAAGTTTTCAATTTCTTTCAAGATCACTCAAGTAAGAAAGGTAATCAAGAAATAACCAAGAAAAATATTAAATTAATTCTAAATTAAACTTTCTTTTGAAGAGCACATATGATGCAAAGTAAAATAATTTAAGACAAGGTAAAAGAATTACACACAAGTTTAAAAAATTTTCCTAGAGAATTATACAATAGTAACAGTTATGAGTTGTATTTTTTGAGATCTAGATTTAGTTTATTATTGTTCAAATTTATCTACTTTTTCAGTTTCCCAATACTCTTATCCCCACATGCCACCACATTTAAGACTAATTTGAATTAAAGATTGAACATTTTTAAAAGATTCCAAGAACGCTTACCGATTTTTCAGGGTCTTGTACTCCAGAAGCTGCAACTGTGAGTTCTAAATCTTTTTCTCTAACAAAATTAAAGTTTTATATTTATTAAAAAGTTATAATAAATACTATCAACATTATAACCACTGTTGAAACAAACTTTCACTCAAGTCTACTAAATTCATAAGCAAAATACAATGCCTTTAAATGACAAAAGCCTTATTATCAAAAACAAATTTTCTGATAGTACACAATAAATTAGAACTTAAATAAAAGTGACTTAGAATATTTCAAAACCAGTGTGCTGGTACTTCAAGGGCAAAGTAATTTATAAAGTCCTCTTTTAGGGACCAAATATATTTTCAGTTCACAATGAAAAAGCTAAAAAAAATTAACTGTAATTCCTTATTAGAAATTCTAATAAGCCGGGTGCTGGTGGCTCACGCCTGTAATCCTAACTATTCAGGAGTCTGAGATCTGAGGATCGAGGTTCAAAGCCAGCCAGGACAGGAAAGGCTGGGAGACTCTTATCTCCAATAAACCACTTAGAAAACTGAAAGTGGGTCTGTGGTAAAGCGCTAAGCCTTGAGCTGAAGAGCTCAGGGATAGCGCCCAGGCCCAGAGTTCAAGCCCCATGACTGACAAAAAATTTTAAAAAAAAGAATCCTAATAAGAATTTTTAAGGAAAAAAAATGTTAAAGAGGGCTCATATCACATAATAGATAATAGCTTCTTCTTAGGATCAATGAAAACAAAAAGATAATAGCTCTCAAATTGTCTAGAATTAGAACTCTATTCATAATTTTAAGCTATAACTAACATTTCACAATATTTTCACACTGAGGAATATACACAATTAAATACCTGTGAGTCACCACATTTCTTTTTTGTGTTTTGTTTTTTTTGTGTGAAAATACTGTACAGAGGGGTTACAATTACATGGGCAAGATAAGAAGTACATTTTTTTGTTGTTGTTGTTTTTTGCCAGTCATGGTGCCTGAACTCTGGGCCTGGGCACTGTCCCTCAGCTCTTCAGCTCAAGGCTAGTGCTCTACCACTTTAGCCACAGCACCACTTCCAGCTTTTTCTGCTTATGTGGTGCTGAGGAATCGAACCCTGGGCCTCATGTATGCAAGGCAAACACTCTACCACTGAGCCACCTTCCCAGCCCCACAAGTACATTTCTTATCAAGCATTGTTGTGTCCTCCTTTGTTTCCCCTTCCCATCCCTTCCCATAACCCCTCCCATGCCCTCCCACCCGATCCTTCCCCCCCACCAAAGTTGTAAAGTTTGTTTTTCAACATAAGGACTGGTACATCTCATTGTTTCAATGGTCCACCTGTATCCCTATTTAAAGGATTTGTTTTTTCCCTTCCCCTCCACAAATTGTAACAACATCAAATACAGTGAAAGCAGGGGTTATACCATGGAGGAGGGACATACAAAGCAACAAAGAAATCATCTTATAAATATGTTAGAAACAATTGCATGAAAGAAAAAAAAAACATTTGAATATGCTTACAATTCCATACTGAAAAATACAGAAGAAATTTATATTTGTTACTATATAGGGGATAATATAAAGGGCATTCAGGTAACATGAAATACTACTCTATATCAAAAATTGAACAACTCAATTGCCATGCTGATTGACAATGTGGTGACTGCAATATAAAATGATTTACAAATCAAAACATCATATTTGGAAAAGAAGCCCCTTATTTCACCATCATGTCATTTTACAGGAATGAATTTTAAAGTTAAAACATTTGTGCTAAATGCAAACCTTTCATTACCGTCTCTTGTTCTTCTGTTGCTCAGCCATTTGTTCCAACAGTTCTTGTCTATATTTCTCTTTCCTTCTCTGAATGAGTTCTCGATCTTCACCTCCTGGACAAGGGTAGGAAAAAACCTTTACATATCACATCCAACTAAAAAAGTTATAAAGCTTTATTTTTAATTGTTCAGAGTAATTACTGAACATGGAAGAAGTACAGAAGGAAAAAAAATCACATGCATCAGTACTATTTCATAACTATTTCAAAATATATGAGTTTGCATCATGTATCAATATAACATAGATTATTTATTCCCAAGTATTTGCCTTTAGTGGAAAACTTTCCAAAATAACAGAAATTCTAATCCTCACTCCCTTTTTTTTCCATGATTTTGGTTAATACCTCCCCTTAATACCTTTCAAAAGTCTCTTCAAGTGTCCATTCTGAGTCTCTTGAAACCAAATGCCTTTTTTGTTTCTTTCTAAGGTACCAATATATCAATGTAACCTCCATTGCTCGTCCTCTCTTACTCATTTCACGTAAGAACCTCCTTTTGTTTCTGAGGACCACAAACCTTGGATAGATTGTTTGCATTTCACAATGTCTTAGCCACTTTCCTCAATACACTCAAGCATACATAACCTCTTTAAATTTAACACTAGCCAGTGATAGTGGCTCACACCTATAATCCTAACTACTCAGAAGGCTGAGAGCTAAAGATCAAAGTTCGAAACCAGCTTGGGCAGTAAAGTCTATGAGACTCTTTTCTCCGATTAAACACAAAAAGCTGGAAGTGGAGGTATGGCTCAAGTGGTACGGTGCCAGCCTTGAGCAAAAAGCTAAGAAACAGCACCCAGGCCCTAAGTTCAAGCCCCAGTACTAACATACACAATAAGCAACGTTAACCACATCAGCAGCCTACCCAGCAAACATCAACTACAAAGAAGAAAAATAAACATACATACATATATATATATACATACATACACCTGCGTGTGTGTGTGTGTGTGCGCGCGCGCACGCGTGCACGCACTTTTCTCTTGGTATCACTTATATAAAAATCCAACTGTTAAAAACTTTTTGATCAGCTGGGCGCCAGTGGCTCACATTTGTAATCCTAGCTACTCAGATGGCTGGAGATCTGAGGATCACGGTTCAAAGCCAGCCCGGGCAGGAAAGTCTGTGAGACTCTTTATCTCCAATAAACCACTAGAAAACCGAAAGTGGCGCTGTGGCTCAAGAGGTAGAGCACTCGCCTTGAACTGAAGAGCCACAGGGACAGCGCCCAAGCCCCATGACTGACAAAAACAAAACAAAATTTTTTGATCCAAGGGAAAATATTACTCCACAAATCACTATCACAAAATTAGCTCTAAATCTAGATGTATACAATCTGAACACTACAAATCACAGAGTATCAACAGGCAGTGTGTGTCTACTGCCTTAATTATTTATTGGTCTTCTACTACCAGTGGGTGCAAAACCTCTGAATTTATCCAACAAGTACAAATGTCAGAAACATTAAGCTTCTAGCAGAGTAACAGGAATTATGTTAAGATTACATATAGCCATTTCAGGAAAACAAAGGTCTAAGAATATATGACCCTAAATCAAAATTAAAGTTGCTGACTTTTTTCAGTTGAATGAACTTAGCATGTTATCCAATTTCCTTATACATTACTAAAACCAAACTTCAATTAATCTTTCTAATAATTTCCATTAAAAGAACAGACCTCTTTTTTTTTTTACTTAATGGCACAAACAGGAAAATAGGGTCTCTCCAAACTTTTTCCAAATTGAATTATAACACGAATAACACAGCAAATCAAAAAGTTTGTATTTACAATGGATGTCAGTGGCTCACACCTGAATTCCTAGCTACTCAGGAGGCTAAGATCTGGAAAAACAAGGTTCAAGGCCAGCTCAGGCAGAAAACTCTGATAGACTCCATCTCCAAAGTAACAGGCAAAAAGCTGGGTTAGAAGAGAAGCTCAAGAGATAGTGCCAGCAAAGCAAGCAAGACAACCATGTATGAGGCCCTGAGTTCGAACCCCAGTACAAGTTAATATAAGCTAAAATAATCAACTTATGTTAGCTTCAATGACATGCTAGTATATTTTATATTAGCTTATATTCAGTAATTATATTAACTTATATTCAGTAATGAACTTGACCTCTAACAAAAATAAACAGAAATTTCAAATATCAAGATTTGAACAAAGAAGGTTCTCAGGAACTACATGGAAAGAACAAAGGAAAAAGGTATTAGTTCAAAGAAATGGAAATAAAACACAAGTCAAATTTTGGTAAACTGATAAAACAATATATATAGAAAACATCATATATAAAGTAGAATAAAAACAAACTTGTATACAACAAGGGGCTAATAACATAAAAACTTAAAAGCTTATTACTGAGAATGCAGGCCCTGAGTTCCAGCCCCAAAGAATAAAATAAAAATAGAAAGCTTTTGACTGAAACTGTTATTTCATTTATTAACAATAATAAGTACATCATTAAGTTATTTGACTCTACTTGCACATAATTATACAATTCAAGTAAAATGCTTACTTATTTAGCCCATTTCTTATAAAAAAGACCTTTATTCAACGTTTTGCAAAAGTCTCATCAACTAGAAGCTTTGTACATACCAAAGAGCATCCCCGCAAAAGGACTACAGATATCTTGATTAGCAGACGTGGATGGCTCATTATCCCGAGCACTAAAATAAAGAGAAAATATTAAAATCCAGATAATTCTCACAAAGTAAAATCTAGATATGAAGCCAGGCACTGGTGGTACACACACACACACACACACACAGAGAGAGAGAGATAGATACACTGGTGGTACACACACACACACACACACACAGAGAGATAGATATGAGTTACTGGCCCATCGCAGTGCTATCAACACTGTAATATTTACATATTTTTAAAAGGTAAAACCATGGTGCTTCATTTTTTTAAAAAGTGATACCCTAATATATTTAAGTAATAAAAATATGATCTTTTCCTTCAACTTACTTCACTAACTCTGTAAATTCAAAAATTAAAATATTTTTAATAAAAACATTTATCCAGGAAGAAAAGTTAAAGTAAGCATATACAAGTCCTAAAAAGGTGAGAGCACAACCTATACAAACACTTGGAAAAGATTAATCCTAAAAGATACTCTTCTTTCAAAGACAGGCATAAGGGGAAAAGAACAATAGCTCTCTCTAAAAAAAAGAAGGAACTTAATTATAACCAAATAGCAAATTCTCGTATGTTCTTACTTTAAAAGACACCTTTCTTGATAATCATATTTTCTTCATTATAGACTATAGATTAGTATAGACTAAACCCATTTATTCTTTTTGTTGTTATATTAGTTGTACAGAATGAGTCCCGTTGTAGCATTTGGGCGAGGGGACGGTGGTGGTCATGGGGTCTGAACTCTGGGCCTGGGCGCTGTCCCTCAGCTCTTCAGCTCAAGGCTAGCACTCTATCATTTGAGCCACAGTACCACTTCTGGCTTTTTCTGCTTATGTGGTGCTGAGGAATTAAACCCAGGGCCTCATGAATGCAAGGCAAGTGCTCTACCTCTGAACCACCTACCCTGCCCTCACTGTAGCATTTTTTTTTCACTGTTGCATTTTTATACATGCACATACTACACTTTGGTCATGCACTTCTTTTCTTATCCCCTCTTCTCCCTGTCTTCTTTCTTTTCCCTAATTCCCTTTCTACTTTGATGTCTTATTTTTTTCTGTACAAATATTAATACTGTAGAAATATGCAGAGGGATGCTGAGTGATCCTAACTGATCCTAAGAATGCAGGACTGATATGGTAGGCAAATAACCCAGCTAGGAACCAAGGTTCACTATAGTCAGAAGTCAAGGGTCAAATCATAGCTCTGCCCTGTTTCATCTTGTGAAATATAGATAATGGTTCCTCATAAATTTGCCAAGGATTAAATGAAATGATGCTCATTGTTTAAAATCTGACAGTGCTCAAAACATTTCAGCTACTTCATTATATTTGCATTATTCCCAAACATTCTCTAGATTAAACCAAATTATAGTATTAGTTGAACAGATGTGATCCTGGACAAGGTATTCTTTGTGCCTGGCATGGAGTATGGACCCAACTTCCATTTCAAACATCTCTAAGTACATAATATCCCATAATGGTCTTGTCAAAATTTAAGGGAAACTTTTCAGTTTGTACGTATTGTGTGTATCATAAAAACAATAACACTTCCTCAATAAATGAAGAAAAGTTGTTTTTGTACACCTCTATTTGTGAAAGACACAATTTCTTGAGATCTCCACTATCTGGGCCACCTTATATTCTGTGAAACCCATCACAGTTTTGATCCTCTCATCAGAAAATGTAGATTCTCTGCTTTTCAGATGACCACAATTACAAAGCTGGATGCACACAAGGCCCAGCCACAAAAACACAGGCATATAAAATTGGCTTTGGGGGCTATTTCTTTATGAATATAGTTCATTTACTCTTTAACTGTTATACCCATGTGATAATCAATAGTATACCAAAATGTGTTATCATTGTCTATTGTACTATGTAAAGATGCCAATGAAGTGTCCTGCCACATTTTGTTTCTTAAATAAATCCCCTTCTAAAATGTAAAAAAAAGAAAAATTAATACATACATATGACACAGGAAAGCCACAAAATCATAAACTTCCTTTTCTATAGACAGAACTATATAAGAAATAATCATAAAAAGTATGCATAAAGGTATCTACTCAGTAAGCTAAAAGTCAAAAGTAAAGTTTTGAGGGCTGAGGATATAGCTCAAGTGGCAGCATGTCTGTCTAGCAAGTGTGAAGTCCTGAGTTCAAACAAAAGTACCACCAAAAATAAAGTTTAAAAAATACTTCACTACAGAATTTAGGATTTTTCCATTTATTTTGTCACGTTCTATCACTATGACTCAAAAATATTTTAAATTCATTATTAGTCCATTTTTCTTTTCATTATTTCAGATACACACATATATAAATATATATATATGAATTACTTATTATAGGTAAAAATTCAGAACACCCTGGCAAGTTTTAGAAACAAAAACGTGTTCTTCAAAAGAAATGATGTAGGGCTTGGGATAGACCTTAGTGGTAGAGTGCTTATCTAGCTAGCATACACAAGGCCCTGAGTTATATCCCCTGCACTGCAAACAAACAAACAAAAAAGCCATAAAGTATTATCTCCTTACCCTGTTTTCTTTCTCACTAAGCAAGGAACCCTGTTAATATACTATACCTCCCTATTTTTCAGTAAGCCCGTTTTAGACATGTGCTAGTTCATTATATAGTGATTTAGGGCCAGAATTTATATTACATACTATACCTTTTATTTCCAGCAGATGAAATTCGTATGTTTGACTGCTCTGTAACATCATCATCATTCTCCATAGGAGTCATATACCCTCGTCTGTTTCCATGAATCCTTAAAAACATATTAGCTTACACAACATGTTCCACACACAGTGGACCTTCTTATATCTCTTTGTTTGGAGTTTTAACATTTAATATTGGAAACATTAAAGGAAACAAAGTGTTATGAAGACATCTTTTATAAACACATTCTCAATTCAAGTGAGATCTATTCAGTTTGATCTGCTGGTTAACAATAAACATAAGAGTTTAGAATTTTCTTTACCGGACTTCATAAATTCTAGGAAAGCACTCTACTACTAAGCTACACTCCCAGCCCCTAATAGCCTTTTGGTTTTTTTAATATTATTATAAATTATTTAAATACAACTTTGAGAAGTTTTTCATTTCAAAATAACAAAATTCAAATATATTTTTCTGTTTGGGTGTGGTGGCAACATACCTGCAATCCCAGCAATCAGGAGGCTAAACTAAAACATGAAAGGATGGGGTTGGGAAGGTGGCTCAGTGGTAGAGCGCTTGCCTTACATGTATGAGGCCCTCGGTTCAATTCCTCAGCACCACATGAGCAGAAAGAGCAGGAAGTGGGGCTGAGGCTCAAGTGGTAGAGCCCTAGTCTACCGCTGAAGAGCTGAGGGACAGCGCCCAGGCCCAGAGTTCAGGCCCCACGACCGACAAAAATTTTTTTTTAAAAGCCATGAAAGGATATACTTATACGACACATGTTAAAGCATGGTTTAATACACTAAAAGATTTTTATGGCAGTCCTGGGGTTTGCACTTGTTAGGCAGGTACTCTACCATTTGAGACTGCCCTTTAACCCTTTTTGCTTTATTTTTTTAATAGGGTCTTGTGTTTATATAGGTCACCTAGGCCACAGTTATCCCTTTTAGACTTCTTATGGAGTTGAGATTATAGATAGGCACATATTAACATTGGTTGAGATGGTGTGTCTCAAACTTTTTGCCCAGGATGGTCTCAAACCAAGATCTCTTTATCTCTACCTCTCAAGTAGCTAGGATTATAGGCATACGCCACTACACCAGGCTTTATACTTTTTTTAATCATGCATTTAGTAAGTGAATTATGAAGCACTTTCTGTATGGCAAGTACTATTCTAAGCACTGGATATATATAGTTCCTGCACCCATGAAAATTATATACAAAATTCAAAATGACATTTCTTTTGAAGTCAAAATTATGGATTCTAGGAGATTATTTTACATATATACAACGAACTGAACATAAAAGAGATCAGCAGTCTTAACATTAAACCAAATAGAGACAATCATGACATTTGCTAACACTTGACATGAAAGAATATTATCAAAAGAATAGGACACATTATTTTTAGAAATAGTCTAACATAATCAATACACAGAAAATGATTGGTTCAGTTTACTTACAAGGTCATAAGCGACAAAATAAAAGATGAAAATATTTTTATTCTCTTTTCAAAAACAATTTTAAAAATAAAAAAAGTTTTTCAATTAAATTTTTTTCCATTTGGCAAACACTGATTGTTTTCTAATTTAATTTGTGACACCAGAGAAACCAACATGACTTTTACACCAACATTGATTAGCATCCATGAAAATTAGCATTTAATAAGTCATATTTCTTTGTTGTTGTGGAATTTGTAAACTATATTGTCTTTCTCAAGAGGAATTACAGAAATATGGTTGTTCAAGTATTATTCAATATTTAAGATGAATTTCACTATCATACTAGCAAAATTTGCAATTTTTAGATTTAAAAAAAAGAACTTATTCTCCATAAAATCAACATATAAAAGTCTTCACTTTGCTTCCACCACACAAGCTATAGGCATCATCTGTGGAGAATCAGTTTTTGGCTTTTAATAATTACAAATTGGCATGATACATCAATGACTCCCACTTTTATCTATATAAATTTCACACATTATTTTAAAATAGTTAATTTTTATCTAACCTAAAAGCCTACTCAAACCTTTTTTAAATTGACACATTTAGTATTATTACCTAGTTCTACCATTTAAATAATTCAAATTCAAATATGTAGGTGACAGTGCTAGACACCGATTTATATACTCTAGATTCATACAAATACACCTATGAAGATTTAGAGCACTGAAACTACCTATCATAGAAAAGCTGATTGCAAAAGCAAGGCTCTCCTAGCACCTGAAAAAATACAGTGTTTAGGATGGTTCCCACCACTGCCAGAACTAGTAACACTAGATTCACATAAACTACTTGTACCAACAATACAGTCTATGACAAAATACCCGCTTTCCTTCAGGGAGCCTTGAATTTTAGTACATACTAAAAAGGGTGCCTAACATTACCAGCCCTAATATTATCAGCCTTCCATGAGTACTGAGTGTCTAATAGGATTCCTGGTAGACACTTCCACATGCTATCACAATTCAAGGCTGGAGAAATTAACCATCTCTTGTATACCTTTTCACTGGACTCTTAGAGATTAGTGTCTTGTTTCCTTGTGACTATATCCCATGAACACTTTCCCTTTGCCGGGTTTCCTTTGTATTCATTTCTATAATAAACCACAGCTAGATACAAAACCTTTTGAGTCTTTCTATAGAATCACCAAACCTGAGAGTCACTGTGGGAACCTCAAACCTAACACACAAAAGTTAATTAACTGATGTAGTAAAAAGCTATCTAAAGCAGTACAAACTTTTAAAAACTGAGAAATTAAGCTAAAACAATTTTAATACTCAATATCTACAGACTCAATTCTCCAATTAAAAGACAGAATGGTGCATATTGGATAAAAAGGCAACATATAACCATTTGTTTTCTATAAAAAAATGTAACTATCTGACAAAACTATCTGAAAAGCTAGAAAAAGATCTTCCAAGCAAACAGACTCAGAACAGGCAAGAGCAGCTAGAACCATATCCAATAGACTTCAAACCAAAATTGTTAAACATAATTGCACTTAAAACAAACACACACACACACACACACACACACATACACACACACACACACACACACTCCAACTCAATAATAAATGTAGATGACCTCAACACCCACTCTCACTAAGAGGTAGGTTATTTTAAAAAAAAATCAGATTTAAGTGACACCATAGGTCAATTAGACTTAAAAGAAATTTACAGAATATTGCATCTAGCAGCTGCAAAATACACATTCTCCTTAGCAGTCCCTGGAACTTCCTCCAAAATAGATTAAATCCTAGGATATAAAGTAAGTCTCAGCAAATACAAGAAAACTGAAATAATCTCCTGAATTTTGTCAGATCACAATGGAGTAAAACTAGAGGTTAACAGGAAAAGAAACTATGGAAAAATTTCATACTCCAGAGACTGGATAAAACACTGCTAAAAGATGAGGTCACAAAAGAAATAAAGGAAAAAATCAGAAAGTTCCTAGAATTCAATGAAAATTGAAACAACCTCCCAAACCTTCTGGGATATAACAAAAGAAGTTCTAAGAGAAAGTCTGTAACTTTTTTAAGGTCCACCCTGGGAAGGCAGAGCAGACTCCTCCCTCCGCTTAGCTAAGTACCTTATAACTTTGAGTACACACATTAATGAGACTAAGCGATCTCAAATTAATACTTTTAATGATATACCTCAAATTCCACACACAAAAAAGCAACAACAAGGATTTAGCTAAACATAAAACCAGCAGAAGGAAATGAAAAATAAAGACTAGGGGGGGAAAATCAATGAAAGTAAGACTAAAAAAAATGAAACAAGGGAGACTAGGAAGGTGGATCAGAGGTAGAGTGCTTGTCTTGCACGCATGAGGCCCTGGATTCGATTCCTCAGCACCACATAAGCAGAAAAAGCCGGAAGTGGTGCTGTGGCTCAAGTGGCAGAGCACTAGCCTTGAGCTGAAGAGCTGAGGGACAGCGCCCAGGCCCAGAGTTCAGGACTACGACCAGCATAAATAAATAAATAAATAAAACATTGGCTCTATAAAATGATAATATACAGTTGACAAGCCTTTACCCAATCTAACCAGTAAAGAAAAATGATTCAACAAGAACAAAACAAAGATGCCCATGTGACTGTAACTCCTCTGTATGGTATTTTTACAGTTAAAAAACAAACAAAAAAACAAAGAAACAACCCAGAGACGAAAATGATGATTTTACAACAAACACAAGTGAAATACAATATTTCAAAAACCTTTAGTCAAATATACTGGAAAATCTATTTGAAACGGATACATATCTAGATAATCTCAAATACCAAATTGAGCCAAGGGTACATAATCCATCTAAACAGATCTATAACAAGAGACCAAAACATAAAAAGGAAAATCTCACAACAAAGAAAAGCTCAGGACTCCATAGATTCTAGCTAAATTCTACAAGACTTTTAAGGAGACCAATACTCTCAAATTTCTCCATTCCAAGCAAGGAAATAAGTATTGCCAAACTCATTCTATGAACCTACTAGCATTACACTCATTTCAAAACCAAACCAAGACACATACACACACACAGAAAAAAAACTATAATAGGCTAATTATTTAGATGAGCAGATACACAAATTCTCAATAAAATAAAATTAACCTCAAATTCTCAATAAAATAAAATTAAATAACCTATCAAAAAAGCATATATTATGATGAAGTTGATTTCATTCCAGAAATGTAAGGCTAGCTTAACATATGTAAATCAATAAACATTAATAACCACATGAACAAAATGACAAAATGATCATTTCAGTTGATGCAGAACAAGGCCTTTGACAAAATAAACCATCATTTAATGATAAAAGCTATGAAGAAACTATGAGAAGAAGCTGGGCACCAGTGGCTCATGCCTGTAATCCTAGCTACTCAGAAGACTTGGATCTGTGAATCAAGGTGCAAAAACATCCTAGAAATACATATTCAAGTGATTTCTGTCCCTAAGTACAGCAAAAAGACAGAACTAGAGGTGTGACGTGAGTGGTAGAGTGCCAGCCATGACAAAAAAGGCCAAGTGAGAGCATGAGGCCCTAAGTTCAAGCCTCAAGAGGGAAAGGAAGGCACAAAAGGAAAAATATGAAAAGGAGGGAAAAGAAAA